CGTATTGCTCTGTATCTTGAATAGTTTCTGTTTTTACGCTCAATGTTGGTACCACGGTACTCACAGAGACCGCTTTCGTTTGTAACAAAAATGATTTTCCTTTATCCTGAAATTAATTATATTATTAAAACAATTGATTGCATTAATTTATGCTTACATCGACGTTGTTTTGAGGTACCACTTTCAATACAACATTCTTTCCGGATGCTGTTTTCACCAGAATCAAATTTGAATTCGTCGTGCCGATTTGACTCGCGTTCGTTATCAAACTCGACTCGTTCAACTCGTTAGTCTCGTCGGATCCTCGACTCGCAAAATCGTTCGAGTCCAGTGTGAGTCCATAATGAATATCTGCCTGCCATGGGTTGAATTTTCCTCCAGTTTGCTGTACCCATTCACCGTTTACAATGCAATCTTCGAGTTCTTCGGTGTAATTTTCGTCCTCATCCTCCTCTCCATGTTTTCGTTTCCTGGTCGGCGTAGATGCATTGCCCAAACGTTTACCTCGTCTTGAAATTGTATAATGATCAGGATCAAAACCCTCTTTTCTCATCATTTCAGGCAAATATCGTCTCCTGGCATTGATAAACCAGTTGCTAATCTGCAGAAAAGTGAGATTGGTTTCCTCAGAGAGGATCTGTTTCTCTGCTTCAGTTGGATAAGCATTGAATCTGTGTTCATATAACCAATTTTTTAATATTTTCACTGATGTTTTGGGAAGGTGTCCTCTCCTCTTTTGGCTGGAGTGTGGTGAGGGTCTAATGTTCCTGACTGTGATGGGCTCAGAGGTGTAGATTGCCTCAGTAGGAAGTTCAATTTCTTGTTCTTCATATTCTTCTATTTCCTCATGTGTTTCAATAGTGTCACTCACACAGAAATCTTGAAAGTGTACCTCTTCATATTCATGCTCTGGTTCACTCATTGCTTACCACAAATATCTGAAATTTCAACATTGTGATATATTCTAGGGAAGACCAAAATAAATTATAGTTACTTAGCCATGATCTACAACTTTAACTGTTAAAGTTGTATCCATTTGTTTATAAAAAAAATAACTTTTAAAGGAATAATTGCAAAAATTTAGGTTCAAGTAATATTTGGAAATTCCAGCACAAAATTTGATGTTTTTTCCGAACTTTACCCATAAATTCCTTTGCATCATTTTATCAAACGAATATATTAAAAATTGCTTTTGTATCACCGGCCATTCACGCGCCTCGACGATGCCCACGAACGGCATCGTAATGGCGGAACAGGGCGTGTACGCACTACACCACTTCAGACGCACAACCCCAACCATCAAGCCGCCCGATAGTATTGTTTACGATGCGTAAATTAATCAGAAGTAATACAGTAAGATTTGCGCCGAATGCGAATTGGAAATAAACAAAAATTTGTCATATCCTTTCATGTCAAACAAACGTCAACTGTCAACGTAATCGTCGCGTCAATTTGGCCGTCTCTGTGACAAGATCGGGCCGCCACTTTTGCGACGCCGTCTACAAGAAGTCTTGATAAGCAGTTAACACTTACCACACTAGGAAGTCCTGCCGAGGAAGTTTTTACGCCGCTCACCACCGCCACTGAGACCAGTCGATAAAATACAAGCTCATTACGTCATCAAAAATTCTAGGGAATTTCTGTGAAGTGCGGCGACTACACTAGTTTTTATGTTACTGATGACGGAACCGAACGTTGATTCAAAACTTAGGAGCTATTTATTCTCAAATTTGATGCAGTAAATTTATTAAAAACAAAATTAAATATTTCTATGATATGTTAAGAGATAGTAAAATGCATATAACAATATTAATTTTTTAATACAACTTGTAATATAGTTTAGAATGTTTTATTTCATTTCATTATAGGCAACCCAGACTACAATATTTATAGACGGGTATGACAGCAAATGATGGAAACACTGAAAAAATAAAACTGTCAGTTATAGCGACCGCTGTTAGAAGTGAGAACTTGGAACTTTTAGTATTACAATTTGAAATTTCTTGATGTTTGAATAAAACTTATCAACTTCAGCCTGGTAGATGTGAACTATTGACATTCCAAACAATAATTATATGCTTGTTTATATGTTTTTTTAATTGTTCAAATATATCACAAAATATGAATGCAATTCAATTGAAATAACAATTAATATACAATTATATATGATTAATAGATAGTATTTGTATTTATATACATTTTAATGTACTTGATTTTTAACATTATTTTTATTGTCATCATTAATATCAACAATACTAAATAAGATACAATTGGCTTATAGTAACAAAAGTAAGAACTGAAAATGTTTGATTGAAATTTATCAAAGTATCGAGTAAAAACCGCATATTAAATGTTTCATTTAGAAATTCAATTAATGGTAGATTTTTATCTTCTGCATATTTTTGGCAAATCTTTTTTGAGTATTTCAGAACCTTCTTTTGTATAAATCATCAATTTTTCAAACAAATAATAATTACTGCTTCAACAATGCACAGTATATACACATTGAACTTTTCACAAAATCTATTCAATTTCACTCATAAGACATACACAGTCTGTACTGCTATAAGTCGGTGTCCATCGCGGCTATAAAAGTGTTCACTTAAAAACAAAACAAAAAACAACTGAAGAAAACAAACGCAACATTCGTCAAACCTGGCTTCAAATTGATAAAAGCTCACTGGCACAATGTACGTGGAGTAGCGGTCATTGCTTCTGAGATATTGGTCTTCAATGGGACAATCATAGTTGGTCTATTGCAGTAGACTTGACTCTTCAGGTTTCCCCGCTGAAAAAAAGTCTGGTGGTGTTAGATCAGGACTTCTGGGCCGTCAATTTTAGATCTTTCGTTAAAATACGGCGCAAAGATTTCTTTGATACTGCAAGCGCAGCTGACCATTTTCATACTAGAATCACATTGTACAGAAGTTCTGACTTCGTTAATTGTTTCCTTAGATTTGTTGATCTTGGGCGTCTCGCAGGTTTCTGGGGTCGCTTAGAAATTCCTGATCCAAGACCTAATCACACTATCACTGATTTAGGTCATACAACCCGAACTCAACACGAAATAAACGACGAACGACAGTGCAAAAATCGCCATTTTTGTAATCATTTTTTTACCCAGAACGCGTGCATCAATTTAAAATCGTATGTTTTTATGGTCCACCCTGTACATCTACATGAATTTAAATAGTCTACAGGTAATATATCACATTTAAAAAGAAAAAAACAAATTTTTCTATTAAATTTTGTACGTAATGGTATAATTTTGTCAGTTGAACGGCAAAACATGTCAAAAATTAAAAATTAATTGAAAAACCACACGATATATAAATTTAAACTAAATAATATCAGTGATTAGTTAACTCAAAATGATCCAAATGCAATGATTTTACTACAGGTTAGAAGAAAACAAATAATAAATATTTTATTTCTGCGGTTGTACTTCCTCAACACTTTGTGTTGGCGTCATGTTAGCTTCACCCCTACTCTACTTTTCCAGTGGGCGCTGTGATTGGTTGAAGCCACAAGCGCCGAACGAGAGGTGAGTAAATTTTCAAAAAATAAATCTCGCACTGGACGCGTTATTTCAACAAGCGCCGTCCGGAGATTAACGTCCCGCCGCGCAAACGGTCGCCGCATTCGCTCGTCGTCGCACGCATCCGCAATCCCGCTCACTGCCCTGTTCTGCCAATCGAAATATTTGTAATCGACTCGTCGTTATTGTTGTTTTCAAGCATTGGTCATGTGGCGATAAGTTACTTTTTTTCTCATCTCGTAACGTTACCAGAGGTTATCTACGCTACGCGCTTAAGTCTGAACATAAACGGATGCATTCTAAATAATGCAAATAAAGTGTGAATTTTAATCATTAGTGTTTGTTTCCTTTAACGTTTCTTTGAAGAACAAAATTGTAACACAAGTAAGTAGAGTTTTAAATAATCCTAAAAAGGCGGAGATGTGCAGGAGACGCTCGATTGTTTTTGGTGGGTGAGGGTTTAGTTTCATGTTCGTTTTTTCATATATTCATGACTAGATCCACACTCATGCAAAACGACGAACATTCAACAACAACAAGCATTTGTTGTGACTCTTTATTTCCGCTTTACGTTTAAAAATGTGTACAAAATGAAACTTCAACCGTGTGAACTAAACGCTCTAAAATATATTTCTTAATTGTGTTACACATGAAAGTACCTTTACAAGACAAAAATATTTCTTCACAAGCTACAAAAAAACAGCGTTTGGTAATTGCCCTCGGAATTAAATAAAAACTTGCAACACATTGGAAATCTTAATATTGTTTTGAAGTTAAGCGTTAAAAAAATTACAACCAAAACTAAATGTGTAGTGCAAGAACGCAAACATCCGTAAATTAATTTCGTCGGAATGGTTTTTCCTTGAAAAACTCCTTGAAGACTAGTTATAAACGTTTTATTATTTCATTGCTGGTGAACAATGAGAAACAAGAAACAAGAACGACGCGTGTAAACTTGAACGCAACATCAAACAAAACAATTGAACGCTGCAAATGAACGCAAACCAAAGCAGCACACAACGCGCGGTACATTAACGTAACGTAAACTTGACTAAAAGTCGGCGTAAGCTGCTACAATATAATTAACGTTTCAAGGGCAAACGCCTCAACCACGACTGCTGGCTGCTGTGGTGTGTGCTCATAGCGATTTCAGTGCTTCCACTATCGAATTATTGAAAAATTTATTTATCATAAACTTATCGTAAATATAAATCAAGGTTGGAAACTAAAGAAAGGTTTAATTTTGTAATGCCCTCCAGAATTTCCAACAGAAATGTTCGGAAAGTAAATAAATAACCGAAATTTTAAGCTAGATCCAAAAGCGTCGTAAAATTTAACGTGCCGGATGTTCGTTCTTTCCAATTCTTCAGTTGAACCGAAACGGGGTTCAGTTATGCACTGTCGAGAAACCAACGGATGCCCGAAAATAAGGGGTAAATAAAACTAAATGAATTCGGATAAACTAATTCAAAATGGCGATGATGATATGCTATTTCGCACGTCGACGTTCGTCGGTTAAAGTTGTTCGAAAGAGACATGCAGATTGTGCACAATGTGCCATTCAGCAGTGCGACGCACGACGTTGAGCGTTTTCGCATTGATATTAAAAAACGGCGGAACACACCGGACCTTTTCTTCCTCCGCTTTATTATTATTATTATTTCAGCGCGGCAAACAAGCAAGCTGGTTGTGCAGAGTGCGGTTAAAGAAATGAGCAAATGTGAGAGCCTAGCCCACACTATACTACAACCATCTTACCACGTCTTGTTGTTCCACTCTTACATACAGAAATTTAAACTTGGGTTGCAACTGCGAAAGCAAGACAAACTGTTGAGTAAAGTAAACCTTGTATGTTGGACGCGGAGAGGATGTTGGCGGCGTGACGGTGGAAGAAGGATGCGTTGACTGCCCTTGAACTGGAAACACGTTTCGCAAAACTCGCCTGGCAGAAGTTTTGCAACTCGATTGCCAAACGGCACAAGAAACTAACTTGGTCAACTAACCGAGTGATCTAACTAGGAATTCATCCAAAGCGTACGTAATTACTCATTTTTGCTAAAGAGATTCAGGTATAAAATAAAGATTATATTTCAGCAACTGTTTACAATGTTGATCAAGAAATTAACTGCATTAATCAATAAAACGTGATTTATTAATCGTCAAAATCAAGTCATTAAAAATTGGCGGCATTTTAATTTTAATGTATATTTTTTGAAGGTGCATAGCTAGACTTTAACAAAAAACTGTTTATGTCAAAATGGCGCCAATTCCACGACCTGTACAAAAATGAAGTGGTTTGTGTTGTGGAAGAAAAAAATCCTAAATTTGTTTTGTCTACAGCGACAGGTAGTTTCTGCGGTCGAAGAAACCCAATATGATTAACAATCTCAACCTTCATCAACAGCCACCAATTTTTCCATTAAATCGGCTTCACATAGTGGAAAGAAAAAGAATCTGAATTCAATACGAAGAAAAGCAGACGCGTAAATCACTACATCAAAATTAAAAAATTCCACGTGTAATCAAACAAGTTGAAGTATCTATATTTTTGGGAGGTGACTCATTGTAAAAACATATATACATAAAGAATATATTATAGTAGTGTGATAGTACGCATGAACAGTTCATCGTGTAGCCGAAGAAGAAACGCAAAGGAAGAAGTTGGAGTTTTGAACGGTGCTGTACACTAAGTACACCAACATCCGAGTCTGCGGGCGAGTACGAGGCTGGGTGGAAGCGTACCATCAACAACAAACCAGCTACGCAATGTACTGTAGAACCACGAAGAGAAGAGGCAAAAAAGAGAAGCGAGGAGAATCAACCTCTGTTCGAATATTTTCTTTGTTGTGTTGTTCTCTGCCTTCTACCTGAGAGACCTTAGAACCCAACGCTTTCTTTGTGTAAAGCACTGTGTTTCCAATACATAGGGTGTTACTAAAAATCAATAATATCAAAAGATTTGAAACTGAAAACGAATCGAAACCTATTTTAATTTGTTATTACAAAATTATTAGATACTAATAATGCATGTAAGTATTTTTTTGCAATATAAATGCTCAGTGTTTTTTAAACAAGACAAAATGCACACTTGAGAGCCATTCTTGACGCCATTGCAGACATCGATGGAACTCGTGAACAAAGGAGACGCATACCAAAAAGGGGGGCCTCCCGGGTCGTACAGTTCCTTTATCGTCTCGGCGTGCACCTTGTGTCCTTTTCATGCCTTCCACAACCTCTGCCTTCTCCACTCTACATGCACTCGAAATGCCAAAGCGAGCGGTGGAAAAAATAACCGCCGTACGGAACTTTAGCCAAACGGTCGAAATAGAACTCCGTACCCTTCAAAAGAAACGCAGTAGAGTGTTGAACGCCGCAGGTAGAACGAACGGTAAGAGGAAAGACTGTAAAGCAATATGGTTGGGACGGCGACAACGCAATTCAACTCAACGGTCAAAACGGGCCAAGTTGAACTATACAACATTTAAGAGCTGGCACATGTAGAAGGAAGCATAGAAAGGTAGAGGAGGATGACTTAAAGGTACCACCTGCCTCTGCCTCTATGAAACGAACTCTTTCTTACTATTATCATTACTAATACAATAGAAAATGGTCGCTCTTATTCAAATTTCAACAAATTGTCTGACTTATTTACAATCAACACTTGCAGGTTCATTTTGACAATTTTGTAGAAATGTATTTTAAGGAAATCATAAGAAGGAAAAGGTAATGACGCACATACACATTGAATACCACCAGTGTGCTCTGACCGCCGTACCACTGATAAAACCGCTGACTTGAACAACAACAACGAAGACGATGATGCAGCAGATGATGGAGACTTTCGTTTCGAGCGCGCGGCGTGCACAATATAGTAACGTGGACGCCATTACCTTACTATAATGATGATAATAACAAAGCAAAGGCAACGTTGTCTTGATACAAAAAGCAAAGAAGCAACGCACAGGAAGAAGAAAGATAAAACACTAGTGACCACAGGCAATCCGAAAACAACCGACGTTCACAAACAAATTAAGCCAAATGAAATAAATATACTACCCAAGAATCTTACCCGTATTACATGTTTAACTAGAGTTTATATGTGAATCAATCTCGAAACAAAATGTCGTCTTAATTTTAGGCTATACCGTTTGGTTTCGTTATTAATTTTTTTTTTGAACGCAGATAGGTTATGATTATTCGATGTGCCTCTACGTTGTTGCTTTTGTAACGTATTACTTATTACTCCTTATTGGATGTTTGCGGCGTCGCAGTTCATTGAACACGAAGCACGAAATCTCGATGCGCGCTGCGCAGCCAGGCCAGACGCGCGCACGAAGCATAAAAGCTGCTGCGGTCGAGCAGATGAAATATCAACAGCGGGACAACAATCATCATTAAAAAAATCGACTTAATGTCAATGATGATGATGATTGTGCGTTTTTTAGACGGCGGCGCGGCGCTGGCGTCTTTTCGGCTGCCGCTCGTAAACGCAAATCGACAACAACGAAATAATCAAGGCCCGCTTTTGACTTTCCACCTGTTGCTCTTCTTACCGGCTTTGTGAATAAGCTATAAAACATACCTTACGGAAGACCTGTTTTTTTTGGCGCCAAAATGTTATTGCTGACGGACCCAACTTGCATTCTGGTCGCTGGGCACTAGCCTGACACCTCCACAAACAACAAGTTTCTCTTGGAACGACGCACAGTATTCGCATGGTTGTCGTAGACTCTTTGAAGAGGCAAGATACATATAGCAACGGGTGACGCCAAATAACATTTATCATTTTGATTTTCGGCGCTGGTGGCACACAATGTGAGGCAAGTAACGACGACAGCACGGCAAAAAAATGACATGTCAGATGATGAATCGCCGACGATTTTTAAGTGTTCATCAAATTAAAGCGTTTATAAGCTTACGACTTGTGCAGGACTTTAACAATGGCCAAACAGCGTCTTTGTAGAAAACATTAAGGTATAATAGTTTGCTTGTTTAAATTAACTTTTTCTAGAACTTCTTACACAATACTTTTTCAAAATTATGAACAACCTGAGAATACAGCAAAACGCCAAACAAACCAAGTTTTCTTATAAATAAATTAACTACTAACATAGACTAATGCTAGAATTATTTAATCATCACATTATAAAATACGTGGCCCCTACGCAGGAAAAAGATGGTGATAAAATGTCAAATCTGATTCAAAAAGCTTCTAATTATTACGTTATTATACGTGTGGCATAGTTACAACATTCAGCCGGAGTTATCGCACGGATGGATGCGTAATGTGTATGCGTGGACGGGTGAGAACCATTTTTAAATGCCTCGTTAACAATCGCCTTCTTTGTTGTGTACTACAACTTCGCAGTATGGCTGATTACACTCAGCGTTGGATAATTATTAAATTTATATGCACTTTCGATAATGTTTTTAAACTTAATTTCACAGTAAGATCATTCTTGGATTTAGGTTAATGCCAAACTCCTGAATTTACAAGTGAAAAATCTGGAAATATAGATGATAATGATACATTTAGAAAAGGTGTGCCAACAATCAGCACCAACAGCACAAGCTGAAATAAAATTCAATAAAGCAATTATTGATAATAGATTAGATGACAACAACGACTGGCATTGACATCGGAAAGGTCAATGCATTGCACACAAGCTCACATCCACAAATTTATATTTACTCGAATAACATGTCGCACGCGGCATGTGTTTCTTCTCGCATACAAGAGCCTGCCTTATGTAAATCATAAAAAAATAGAGCATGAGCAGCGGTGTGTAAAAGAAGCTGCTTTATGACGATGATCATACATGATGAAAATTTAAATACGTATAAAAGATAAAGTGTTCATTAAACTCCGGCGAGCCAACGCAAAACGAAACACAGATGATCAGATTAAATAGTATAAATGCCAATTTACATCCGCAATCCATCAGCGCAAGCTTAGATTTTAGTACGAATTTTAATTTTTAGGCAGAGCTAACCTGAATGGGGCGCACATTTTGCTTAAACGGAGAACAGGAAATTCCACAGTCGGTTATTCTATAACTAGCAGACGAGCAAATTTTCTCATCGTTGTTTAAATAAATATGTAATGATTAATTAATTCGTTGGAAATCCTTAGCATGTTTAGTCACCACCTATGACTATGTTAAAACAGAGTAGAGGTCTAGTCTGATCATGCGCAGATATGTGATATTCCAAACAAATCTAATATCTAATCATTTTTATTTGAAGTTCAGATAGTAAGTAAACTTGCTTCTTTACCCCTCACCATATAAATTGTCATGATCATAATGAAAGTGCCCGTATTTGTCGGTTTATTAGCGCACCCTAAGAATGAAATACCCCTATGGTTATTAAATCGACGTGTGGCGCATGGGTGTGCGCTCATTAACTATCCCATAGCGAATTTACTCAAACTATCTACCTACTAGTACGAAGTCGCGAATTATCGATAGTTAAAAACGAGAAGCGGATGAAACACACACACGGAGGGGGTGAGAGGGGGGTATCTTCTTTTCGAGTGATGCTCGATTGGATAAATTAAACGCGAGTCCCGCACACAAATGAAAATGATTCAATTGAAATCAGTCGTATTATGAGTGTAACAGGAAACGTGTAGTTACGAAAACAGTCGCATTTTGTTCATTATAAACGTTTTAAAGTTTGTAGTATCACCTTGTATTGTTTGAAGCGTGAGCAAATACGACATTCAAATGAAACATATTCAAGCTGGTCGCGTGTCCCACATCATTAACCAATAATCATCAACAATGTACCGTCTCGTCTGGCGGTCGCATCCGAATTGTGCGGAGAATGGACAGGCGTCCGATGACAAAATTAACGAAACACAACAATCGATCGCAAGCACACGCGACGAAAATTTTGTTGCAATGGCGGTTATTTAGATTTAAGTACTGTTTTCATTCAATCGTCGCTATAGACTATTATCCTCGTAAATTTCATTTTATTACTTTGCATTGCAGCGGTAAAAAAAATTAGCAAAAAGTTTTGGATAGGTAGGAGAAAAAAAAAGACAACAAAAATATTTTCTTCTAATTTTAAACATTACTATATATTGCTATACTTATACTTATACTTATGTACAACTACCTATATAATTGAAATGACGTTAAAAAGTAAGTTATGGCCATTCAAATGATTTACTAAGTTGTTCTTGGCTCAGCTTTGATTTGAATGATGAGACCGCAGATATTAAATCAAAATACAGAACAACGATCACCATTAACTGTAAAAGTTAGAAGTGTTGAAAGTGAATCAACAATTTTTTATTACCATGTCTTCAATGTTAAGGAAGGCAATATGTACCTACTAGTAATTTTAAAAATATTGTTTATACCTACATTAAAGTATTTTTTTAAGTGAGACAAATATTGTGAAATGCTGTATTTGTGACTAGCACAAAATTATAAGCCTATCGGTGGTTTACAATTGTTATGCATGCACAAATGCTGTAATTGTAATTGTAGTAATGGCGCACACCGGCTGAGGCAACACGCCGCTCCGCTCGGGTTAAATTTATGCGTGGGAAAACTACTCGTAAGAAACGGAGCGAGCGAATTAGATACACAATATATGCAAGCGGGCATAATTTCCGAACGCCGGCGCCGGCGAAATGCCACGGAACGCCAAGCAGGAACAGCACAACAGAGATATATCCAACACGACCGGCCTACAAGTATAGTGCTCCAGCAATCTAGGCGTTAGCTGGAAGCATAAAAAATAGTCCAAAACGAGCATAACAAACGAAAAGAGAGCTGAATTCTGAGCAGAAAATTTAAAACGCCAATGTGGTACCCAAGAACCTTGCGGTTGATTCGTAACGAATGAAGAAAATAAATAGAAAAGAATCGTTACCAAAGTAAACAAAAACAAAGCCAGAAATGCAGCGGAATGAATGGAACGGATGAACGGATGACTGGTGCGCTAGAGCGCGAAATTTTCCATTATTTTTCAACGCGATGCGAGTGCTGGGGCATTAAATAAATATTCCTACTATCTCTCCTACAAAATGTGACGAACATACACATGTCTGTAGTAAATGTAAAAGAGCCGCCAATCAAAACATTACCTCAATGAAAATAGGTACTAAGAGAAGTAATTAATGAAATTTCAACACAAAAGAAATATTCATACATATTTAATATTATCAGTTATTATAATTAACAATCATTTTCGTCTTCCAGTCGGTAGAAACCGTGCGGTGAATAAATGCGCTTCAACTTGAAACTGCACACAGCAATTTTTTGTTAAAACACAAGCACATTATAAAACTGATATTATTAAAGTACAGCACATGAAAATCAATGCAAGTCTTCCTGCTTTCACTTTTACGGTTATTTTATAGACGCGTACAAGCGATCGGACAACACACGGCTTGCGTGAACGGCAAGAGTGTGTCATGTACGATTTCGATTTAATTCTGCAAATAATAGTGCGCACGTAAACTCTACAAGCAGTAGTTATACCACTCATTTCAAAAGCGCATTTCTTCAATACGACCAGCCAAGCAGGAAAGGAAATAAAATAACAAAAGAATATGATGCATCAAATAAATTTGTAATCGAGACGCGATTAACGCGCAAATCGCGCGCACGTTTCTTCCGAGTGTATAAATCTGCAGGCAGAACGAAAAAAAAATGCCCATAAAGCAAACACATTCGCGATAACAACAACTATCATACATCACATTATACACTTCTGTGTCTTGAATTAAAGTTGAAAGAAATCAATGTGTGCGCACCAACAACTGCGTAATTTTTATAAACTTGGCGACTCAGAAATGGCTAAAATATGCCGTTGGTTGAGTGGAACAGTCATCTCAAGACACACTGAAGACCCAGGCCTCCTCGAAGCGAAAGACTCACCGACGCCACCGCGCGGAGGTTTAACTTCCTGGTATCTTAGGCGCATTCGCGAATCAAATTACAATGCACATTACAGCCATAATTCTTACCACAAAGCAACAAAAACAAATGTACAGTCGGTCACGTACTGCATGCATTACGCTTGTTAAAATATAGGGGTGTCATTTTGTTTTAAACGAATTTGCAAATAAAACGCTGTTAACGATTCTGTTTGTTTCGTCTTGACGAATGGAATGGATAACTGTAAAATTGGGCAGTAAACAAAAGAAGACAAAATATCATCGTACCAAGTTGTTATGCTTAAGCAAAGATGAAATTTGTTTTTTCCTTGCAAATAATATGTCGATACATTGGCTGGTTAAATTAAAGATCTGCTTCATGGTCATCAAAGTACAAACAAATGAATCCAACAAGTGTAATGTACCGAAGTGACCTTTGCATATTATTTGGTTTCTTTTCTTTGACTCTGAGACTGAGACTTTTTGAAAATTTTATAATGTGTAAAATGTGTACTACGTTATGTACTGAGTTGATATATAGTGGTAAAGGTTCTCGAGCACTGTTTCAATCGGCTTGGATCAGGTTCGCTGCTCACGAGTTAAATGTTACGCTTTGTTATAAGTTATAAGGTCAGCCCTCGTCGACGTGCCTCGCCGGTGCGAGATTTCGTAGGCGATATCCGCCATGCGAAGATGCACCACAACATCACGCAGCACACACACACACACACACACACACACACACACACACACACACACACCTTCTAACAGCGCGCGCACAAGTGTATTATTTAACGTGTGAAGGCGGAGGGCTCCACAAAATGGATCATGAACCATGTGCAACGGACGAACTGCGAAGCCTTCGGTCACGCATTGTTGCCTTCGCGCCGCAGACCTAACGAGCATCTATGGTCGCTTCTTTGAATTTGTTATTGTTGGTGAAGCTTACACGTCACCAAGTTCACAAGTCCAAGAGCACAAAGGCGATAGAGTCGCAAGACAATTGATCAACAAGGTGTTGATCAATTATAAACGCGCTTTAAATAGGTGAGATATCCAAAATGCGATCCCTGAGCGGTTTAATTTCGGCCAAAGAATGAGATGATACGATAATAATAAGATAAAAATAAGAAGAGACGATGCACGACTCCGCCGCGTCGCTAGGTCTCTCCCTACAGGCCTACAGCGAAAAGGACGGGAATTATACGTGTGCGTCTCTGCCAAGGTTGTCCCAGCCGCATTCTTCGCTGACCGTTGGGGCTCTTCGACGTTAATGCATCGAAACGCCGGCCGGACCGGCAACAAAATAACCATTGCGGCGAAGAACAACGAAAACGAAAACCATAATGTTCATGAACGAACTCAGGGACCAATCGTGTTCGCTAGCACAAGCAACGAACGGCGAGTAATTCGAAACCAACTATCGAAGATCGATTTCGATCAAAGCGAAGACAAAAGAAAGTCGTTATATCGTTTACTTTTTAACCTTGTTGCATTAAAGTGATGAACTGAGCTTGTACACTAGTGGAGAACTAAATTGCAAAGACTTGAATAATGAAATATCTTTGATTTATTTATTTGCAAATAACAAAAACTTTGATGTATTATTGCATCAACCCTTCCTTGAAACAGTTCCTTTCTTTTGTGTTCAGCAGATCAATGAATTGCCGGTTTTATTTGTACTGTTGGTGGGATAGTGAAGTTGCTATGTATGTAATTAGTTAATAGAGGAAACCAGTTGTGATAAGACTGGACGCGTACATTAAAAAGCCATTAGCGAACTTTAACAGGACGCACTGGATATAAAAGTGCGAGAATTTGTGCGTTACGCGGATTGGAATAACTCTGAATTAATACATTTAGCGCCCTCTAAAATGGGGCGACCGATCTAAGCGTTATGTTACGGAATCCAACTTATTCTAATAAATTATACCTACATGATATTTAAGAAAGTATCTAATTGTTTTGAATTGATTTTAAGTAAAATAATAATTTACAATATTTTTAAATTATTTGGAACACAATTGATATGACTCTGTTGTTTGTATTAGCTCAATTTCTGCCGCAACATCCAGAAAAACATATTCCCAAGATAATTGGCTGCCATAGGTGGAAAGTAGATTAAACGGTGTTTTGTCATCTGGTCGACGTGGTGACCAGCACCTCATACAAATGTATCAACAAATTACGCAGAAATTGTTCGTACTAATGTATTTAAAAATGAATGCGATTCTCTTATATTGAATTCACAAATTTCCTCCGACATACAAGTGAAACAAGTAAGTTTGATACATAACCCCTGACTGATTGTTTTACATATGTACATGGTTTCATAAATTTGATTAGAATAAAACAAGAAGGATCGTATTTCTAGAGGCATGGAGTTTGCTGTACACATAGCAACGCCCAAGTTGGATGGTGTTATTCTTCATGGCCCTTTCCATGAACCTGTTGATGGAACACTATGTGTCTCAGGACATCATCTAATTTTATCAAGCAGAAAAGAACATGTACAAGAATTATGGGTATGTCATTTTTGAACTTACTAGTATTGATTGATTAACAATAACATTACACTTATTTTATAATATAGCTATTGCATCAAAGTGTGGATATAGTGGAAAAGAGACCAAATGGAACAAACAGCAACTATCAAAATGGAGGAACTTTGATTCTAAAGTGCAAAGATCTTCGAATTTTACAACTAGATATTGGTTCAACTGAAGAATTTCTCAATGTCTATGCATCAATTGAAAGATTATCCAATCTGGACAGTCCATTGTCTCTCTATCCATTCTTTTACAGACCTATGTATAATATCATAGAAGACGGCCATACCCTCTTCTCATTAGAAATGGAATTTGCAAAGTTGTTAGCTAGTGATGATTGGAGGATCAGTACAATCAATAAGGACTACTCAGTGTGTCCAACATATAGTGCAAATCTGCTGGTTCCCAAGGCTATTGATGATGAAACTATTTTAGCTGCAGCCAACTTCAGAGATGGTGGGCGTTTTCCAGTGTTAAGCTATCGCCATGAAAATGGTGCAGTCCTACTGAGAAGCAGTCAACCACTAATTATCAATAATAGAAGATGTCGCGCTGATGAAAAGATACTCAACCATTTCCTAGGAATCAATAAGAAGGGATATTTGATAGAGACAAGATCGCCGAATATGGTAGCGGCCTGTAAGGCGAAAGGAGGCGGGACAGAGCCGGATGAACATTATCCCCAATGGAGAAGGATCTATAAAAACTTGGATAGAATCGCCAACTGTAAAGGATTACTACTGGACTCATTTCAAAAGTTTATGGATGCATGCAATGACACTAATTGTACTCCAGACAAGTGGATATCAAGAGTGGATAGTAGTAACTGGTTGACTTTGATACAAAATACTCTGAACGCTGCGTGTTTTGTTGCGCAATGTCTTGATAAAGAAGGTGCAAGTATATTGGTGCACGGATCACATGGAATGGACTCTACTTTGCTAGTTACGTCAATAGCGCAAGTGATTCTTAATCCAGATTGTCGTACCGTGCGGGGTTTACAAGCATTGATCGCTCGCGAATGGTTACAAGGTGGATATCCGTTTCAAACAAGACATGGAAAGTTTTGTTATTCTAATATGAGAAACAAAAATCAACAACCAACGTTTTTATTATTTTTGGATTGTGTTCAACAACTGCATTATCAGTTTCCATGCAGTTTCGAATTCACAACGCAAATGTTGATAATTCTCTTCGAACATTCATATTTCAGTCAATTTGGAACATTCCTAGGCAATTGTGACGCAGATCGAGAAAAAATGGAAATTGCGAGAAAAACAACGAGTTTGTGGTCATACTTAAATCGACCTGATATTTTAACATCTCTTTTGAATCCGGTCTATGAACCAAACAAATGCGCCATATGGCCGAGTGTTGCTGCAGTGAGTCTTAACATTTGGGGCGAGTTATATCATCGGTGGATTATAGATCAATCACATCAGAAGAAAGCGATGAATCGTATACATACGCTAGTGCAGAATGATAAGAAGATGCGAAGTAAAGTTATTAAATTAAGAAATGAACTCTTGGATTTACATCGGAAGTATAGTCAGTTGAATGAGGAACTTGATGACACCGAGATTCAAAATGTCGGAAATCAGGCGTGAATGCAAATATTGACATGGGTTATGTACTTCAAAAGCTTTGATTGCTTCAGATGTGTTCAAATTTGTAAAAAATCAAAATTTTTCTTTAGAAAGTCAACACATTTTTAAAACGCATCGTGTGTTGGATAAAGTCGCTAAAACATACAATAATCTAGTCAAATGTAACAAACTTGAATTATCGTAAATGATTGTAAAGTCACTGGATGACTATTTGATGATGAAGTTTAGAAGAATATGGAAAGCACATAGAAATGTTATTATAAGTTGTTATAAGTAAGAAATATAATGGCGCTGATAATTATAATATGTCCTTCGAGATTTAATTTACTTTTATAAAATCTGCAACACAATTATTAGGTACTTTACAACTACACAATTTTTAAAACGAGATTGATACCTACTTCTAAAAAGCTTGTGTCTGCTAGACCTACCTCGGCTAATATGTCCGAATCAACATATGTGACCCATGGCCCGAACAAGTCTACATCCCTCCCTTATACATACATTTACCGGGGAATGTGTACATTGCCCTTAATGTCTTGTTAAATATAGGTGAAGGCGGGACATGTACACATTTACTTTGGCTGATTTGTGGCATTTAAGGAAACAGCGAGAAGCCTAAGTTTGAAAAAAATTAGATTAGGATATGCTGCCCGAATGCACAAGTTTATTACAGATATTACGTAAATATCTGTAGGAAGCGGGTTTTACGCATAATAAAAATAAAATAAAACAAAATGGAAAAGAAGTTTCCACACCGCTGCTCAGGAAAACAACAAATTTACTTCAATAAATTTAAATGGTACGGTTGTAAGCTAACAGCATTACTGTGTCAACTTGTAGTGGTAAATGTACGTTCAATGTTCTTTTATTGATGGGAAATATACCGACGTTCGGAGTAAATGTATATTGAATGCACATCTACCGTCTTCGCACTGTACCAGACATTTCAGCTTACTATATTTCGCAGACAGCGACCTGAAAACACCATTATAAATTAAATGTGAAAAGTCATTGTCAAAGTTCGAAAATTCGTTCGACCAATGGTATTTAGAGTTGGAACCATATTGTGAATCTCAACTTTGTTTTATGTTACAACTATATTTAAAGCTTATTTTCATTTAATATTCATTCGTTACACACTCCAATCATCAATTTGATAAAACTCTATATTTATTACACTTCAGGTACGTTGTACTAAAGTACACATTTCTCTTTAAAAAGTAGATAAACCGTTTCATGTTAATGAAAATAATAAAAACCATGGCACCCACTAAACCGGTACAAACCGGAAGACGACAGAGAACTGTTCCGCGCCCAGACTGTGAGCTAACCACTCATTTTTCAGCACAGCGATTTTTAAGCTATCGACTTTGAATTTGGCATTGTAGTTGGTGTGTATCGCCCTGCCCATACCTTCCAGGACGATCAGATCTGCTTGTATCATTGCTTCGCATAAATCTAGATATGACAAACACAAATGGCATATAGTAAAATATAGTTAAATAATATAATACAATATTGTGAACTACCTTTATCTAAATTACTGAGATCTAAGCACGGTCCTCTCTGGCCGTTCTCCATCGCTATTAACCGCGATTGATCAATAGCTGTGCGAATGATAGGACAATGCGTTTTGGCGCGTTGTAGGCAGTCATCTAGCTCGCGATGTGTGATATCGTTGAGCGCCGGCAATGTGTTGCCAGAAAGAATCACTTTGGTATTGTCTTTGAGAAGTTCTCGTACGAATGGTAAAGCTCCAAGCACGAAATCCATTCCAGCATTATCCACAAATATCACCGCCAATTTGTACGGACGTCTCTACTCAAAATAAATTTGTTTACACAATAGGCAATTAAAATTACAATGGAATAATAAAAAAATCTATAATTTTACTTGCACATGTTGCACCCATTCATTCATATCATCCTTAAACCAGGGACGTTTCTGGATGAGCTGCATAGCCTGCTGCAAACCAAAGTTATCAGAGATTTCTAAAATGTCTGTCACAGCCTTAGCACCCCAATCGAACATGTTGCCGGCGAGCATGCCTGACCCAATCTGCAGCCATCTTTCCTGCGCGTCCACGAGCGAATCAAGATGCTTCAATCGGTACGGCAGTTCACGGAACGCCGCCTCCGTCTCCTGCTGTTTCTGCATCTGCCACGCATCCTTAAAATTATTTTCTCTCAGCGTTTTTTCATTGAATTCCAGCAATGTTCTTATACTTAATTGATTCAATATACTGCAACCAAACATACACACAATTTGAAATAATAATACTCTGAAGCAAATGAGTATTTAAGTGGATACTTACTTTGGATCTTTTTGTAATTGTTGAATCAATTCTGCAAAACTATTGAAACACTTTTTAGCCACATCAGTGGCTTCTGGATAGTCTGGATTAAGAACACCAGCCTTGTCAATAAACTTCTCTACCATCTTCTGCAAACAAGTGAACCAATATTGTCTCTCCTTGTCATTGTTCACCAAATCAATGGTATCAGGTGTGTAGCAGTTTGGATCACATAGCAAAGGGCACACAGTGTCCTTCATTTCCACCATTATTCACTGTCACTGTTTATTCTGTATAAACCTGGAATGATATAACAAGTTTAAACAAAGCACATAAAGTGTTCTAATTTCCGCGTTTTAACAAGGAACCAGACTTTAATCAAGCACTCCAAATCAGAGTAAGCTATAATTAATGATGAGTGTAATTGATAAATCTAATTTTGATAAGAGCAAGCAAATATAAATAATGGTACAAACAGCTGGTCTATTGTACAAAGTCTAAATTTATTAAGTACATACGACTAAACGCAACTGTTTATCAAGCTTATTTAAATAAATCTAATACAAATTGCGATAAAATAAATGACGAAAACGATTCTAACCTTTTCATTTAGATGAGCGATGTTTGTCTGGCGGTGTTTGCATTCGTTTTATTTACAAATAGTTGTGCGATGTTCGTGTGGAGAGATTGGGAGAAATTATCGTCGACAGCAAAAGACCTTGACTGCCGCTTGGCTCCCGTAAATTTCTATTTAAATTGCAACTATTCGCACAATTTGCACGTCTCGCGCTGTTTGTTGTTTCGTGACACAATAGATGTGCCTCTGTGCCGTATTCAGTTCAGGAGAATGTCGCATCACTTGCACCACCCTCGTTGATTGAAATTGAAATGTATTATATTTCGTTAGTGTCGGCGGTCAACGCCGGTTATTGGTATTTTCTGTTTACGGTTTTCGTAAAATAAGCCCAATCGTCGTCTAAAAAATATGATGTGTATGCTTGGTTGCCTATAGTTATGTGCAGTACATTTCTAGAAAGCAAGAATTTTAAAAATGAAATGTAATTTAAATAAAAACAATTTCATGTTTTATACTTCTATCACGATAAAAGACAAAATTTTCATTTCTTAAATCAATATAAATTATTATGTAAGTTAAAATTTCTGGATTGTATAAGTTAAGATTATATATTTTAAATAATCCACATTTTACTGTTTGAAGGCCTCAAAGTCAATGGGAAGTCACCTAAGTTCATTTACCTTTCTTTCTCGCATTACCTGATGTTCTCCCTCAGCATACTTAGTAAGTGAATAACACAGCAACAGATATAAATAGATACTTTTAGTCAGTGGTTAAAAAGAAATTGTGCGTTTCTCTGGCCAGTTACTAATAAGATTGATCATTGGCTAACTTTAATGCAAATAAACCAAAATATATATGTTTTCAATCAGTAACTGTTCTTTTAATTACTCAATTTAATATCAATATGGGAACTTTATGTGGATATATTTTGTGTTTTATTTACACTTTGTGTTGGGTTATATGTATTACCGCTGATGGTAAGTATAAAATTTTCATATCTATATAATATATCAATATAATTGAGAATTTTAATAATTTATTTTAGAAATATTTGAGTCCGATTTAGGCGAAGACATGAAAATAGGTCTTGCAGATGGTGGGTACAAAAGTGTAAAATTAAAGTGCGGTTCAAATTCGATGCACATTAAACTGGAAACGGACGAAGATTTTGATGGCGTGATTTATACACGAGGAAGTTTTCATGATAAAGATTCCGCTTGTTATCTAGATGCAGGTATATTGTTGAAAATATTTATTTAGTTTTAAAAGGTTAATTCTATTGATTGTAGATTCAATAAGAGAAAAACGTTCCTTTAATATGTCTTTCGATCTGGACAAATGCCAAACGAAACAAGAAGGAAAAGTCTACACAAACGTTTTAGTTCTCCAACATGATAAAGAGTTGATTATGCCTGGTGACGCAGCTTTTACTCTGGAATGTGATTTTGAGAAACCACGTGAGGTGACTCTTCAAGCAAACTTAAATAGGTCCGTTTTAAGAATTTGTTATTAAAACAGTAAAACTTATTAAAATTATTTTTTTATAGTAGGGAGTCAACGAAAGTGATTTCTCGCATCAGTTTAACCGATGCAGATCCTGGCAAGAAATCTAAACGGCCCAAACGTTCACTAGCATCCCCCACGGAAGTAGAGATCACTCCAAAATCCGCGAGAACGTTGAGTAAGGAAGAATTGTAATTATGCTTGTAGCTGGTTATATTGCAAAGTAGATTGCGCCATGATTTTAATTTTATACCAATAAGAAATTGTCATTATTATTGTTGACTTGCAGGTAGTGTTTAACTCCTATACGCAACTTGCCGCATTTTGTACTTACATCTTTCAATTAAACATGTTGGTGAGTTTACTCAATTTAATATGATTTGGCATTTTTAAATGAATCCCAAAATGCGATGCTTGTTGTTCAATGACAACGGCTGGTGGTGTTGCCACTTCCGGTTTATCTTTGATTAAACCGTGTATAACTGGCGAGAGCAAATCCTTGTGTATTGTCCTATTTCTGTTAAATCCAGTGAAACAGCTAACTAAAGCCCCAATCGCGATTGCCGTTATAGCGCCAAGAGCTGTATAATACATGTAAGAAAGGCGGTATAAAAAGAATACTTCCGGTTCTGCAGTAGGCGGTAAGACTGGTGTCCTTGCAATTGTAACAGAAGCAAATTCCGCTAACCAGTCTGAATTACATCCTGTAACTACTGCTGGTTTTATGGGAAAGACAATTTCCTTGGCTGCAATTTTTAGTTGAGTACCGATTGAAATCCAACCAACTAGTGTACCAGAAACTATTCCACCAGTTAAAGCACCCTAAATTAACAAAACGTTAACAACAATACAATTCAATATAACATAAACTAACAGTGGGGTTTGCAAACGGAACAAACATTCCCAGTGTGAAAATTCCCAACAATGGTCCTGCTGTAATAGCACCCATACTTCCAGCAGCTTGAATCAACGCCCCCATCTTTTCCACCAAAAACACAAGTCCAACACAAATGCTTCCAATGATTACAACAATTACTTTCATGAGAAAACTTGCTCGTTCCTCAGTCAAAGGCTTCTTAACGTTTGGTTTGATTAAATCTTCGAAAATCACTCCGGTCATTGAGTTTAGACCAGTAGACATAGAACTAATTACATAATTTATAAGTTAAAACAAAGTCATAATAACATTTTCTCACCTTAGCGCAGCACTAAAAACACCACTAACAAAAAGTCCAGGTAAACCAGGAACGCTGGCGGCAATCTTCATAACAAAGTATGGCAACAATTGATCGGATTTTCCAATAGACCCTCTTATTATAGGGTCACAATCATGGTAAGATGCGTAAATTAATAATCCCATATAGCAACACATTGATACAAGTGAAGTTATGCCAATAACCAATATTAAAATGGTACTAAAAGTTCAAAAAAGTTTTAAAACATTTAGAATTGAAATCAATGAAGATATCAATTACAATCGTGCTGATTTTAATGTTGGCATAGCAAGACATCTCTGTACCATTGCTTGATTGATAGAACAGCTTGCTAACCAAGAGAAGTAGTTACCAATCGATACAGTCCAAAACGTGTGACGGATAGTAGGATCCCAATCAAAACTAAAAATGTATAAATTGGTTCCGTAATTGTAAGTTTAAGTTACATTAAGTACGTTATGTATTACTTAAAAAACTCAAGTCGTTCTCCTTCATCATTGATTCTCCATACTTCAGCAAACCCTCCAATTGAAATAGTGCCCATAACAACAACTACAATAAGAGCCCCAAACATAACAACAGTTTGAATTGTATCTGTCCAAACTACAGCTTTTAATCCACCCTGAAAGTAATTGAATTTTATACTTAAAGTATTATAGATTCATGAAATAAACTATTATTATTTGCATATATCATATTTATTAAACCGTTCCACATGATCTTAACGACGTGGCCACTTGATTGATGCTACAGAGAAAAAATCTTATATCTGTTGTAGTCAATTGCGTTAGTGGGCCTAATAGTAATACTATCATCATAAAGATCAACATTGGTCCATCATACAACAGCTTCGACGATGTTATTAAAAGATATGGCATTACAAGAGACATGAAGAATGACAACATGATTACTACAATCATGAAGAGATCATCTTCATCATTCAGACGTTGGCCAGATCGTCCAGCAGTTAATGAATTTCCACTTAAAGACAAGTTCATATTTTGATTTTCTTGAGGCATAAAAGAACTACTGTTCAAGCTTGATGTAGTTAGGCGGGGGTTTCCAACAATTTCATCAGAATTTGATGTAACTACACGCGACTCAAAGCTCGATTGAGAACGCTTACGAATGTGGATAGACATATTGCAAAAATAAATCTTGAATATAAATTGAAACTTTTTTTGTTTTGACGTTTAGAATTTTGATAGACATAAAGATGACTACGTAAATATAACATCTATGCCGGATTGTAAAGTTAACAAATAACAGATGGTGCAAATGGTTAAATTTAGTTATGTAGTTTGTAATACTCACAAGTGTTGTGTAGAAAATACAAACGATGCACACAATTGGTGTTACCAGATGAAGATTAATTCCAGTTACTATACATCATAAAAATCTAGTAAGCATTTCAAAACAAAAGGTATAATAAACAAAACAAAACAAACCTTGGCTAAATGCAAGAGCCGGTACGTAAATGACAATCGGAATGTAAAGAAGCATTTTGAGCAAGAACAGAATTGATCCTAAGAGGCGTACGGTTTGATTAAAACGTAAATTGAGATACTGTAACAAAATAAATTATTAATACCTACCTCTTTTAACAGATATTTAAGTGTATTAAGTACCTCATAACTGGAAGTAATCTGCAATTTGTAAAATACTGGTAGATAAGCAAACGCCATTGTACCCGTCACCAAAAATTCAGAAGTAAGAATCATCCAGAATTGAGTTCCGTATGTATACATCTCAGCGGGCATTCCAAGTATACTAATACCCGATATATAACTGAAACATACAACAAATAAATGTCGACTAAAAAGTTATTGGAACGTCGCCAACAGGACGATGAAGCAACAGCCTATGCTTTTAAAGAGTTCCTTGAAACTTTTCAAACGTCCGCCCCAGTAGCAAAAACATTTATACAGTCTGGTATATATAATCCTGGTGTAAATGACTTTAATTCATGTGCGACCGAACAATCTGGGAAGATATATGCTCCAACGCCGCTTTATAAATCATCTGATATTGCAATGCAAGCACTAGAATGTGCGAGACTAGTAAAATATGATCGCGGCTTGAGACCACAAGGTGGTAAATCAAAAACTAACTTGGAAGAATTAAAAGAGGAGCTACAGCAACGTCATCAACATGTGGAAAATATTCATAAAATTAGTGGTAACTTATCAACACCACCAATATTTGCCCAGTCTGGATCAACAAGAAAGCAAATAGAATTAGATCAAGAAACTATTGAAAATACTACAAATTTGTTTTTAACTCATATTAATACATCCCTGAACGAACAAGATCTAATGCAAATTTTTGGTGTTTACGGACCATTAGCAAGTGTAAAAATTATGTGGCCACGTGTCCCTACCCGTCATCGAAATTTCAACATTGGGTTTGTTGGATATATGAGTCGAAGCGATTGCCAGCAAGCTTTTTATGCTCTTGGGAACCGATCTGATATGAGAATATCATGGGGTAAACCGATAGAAATTCCAGCGCAACCAATTTATATTCCGCCGGAGCTGGTCAAAATGTTGTTACCACCACCATGTAGTGGGTTGCCATTTAATGCGCAGTTTCCCAACTCAAAAAACGAAAAAAGAATTTCAAAACAAGATTTGGCTAACGTGGATTTGACTAATACTTATGTGAAAGTAACGATTCCACTTGATAAGAAAATTCTGTTAATTATTCATCGCATGATAGAATTTGTCATACGTGAAGGGACTTCAGTAGAAACGATGATCATGCGGAAAGAGCGTAATAATCCATTGTTTCAGTTTCTTTTTGATAATCAAAGTTCCATGCACACTTACTATCGTTGGAAACTGTATTCAGTTTTACATGGAGAGTCAATTAATTCCTGGGACACAACTCCGTTTCGAATGTTTCGCGGTGGTTCTCTATGGATCCCTCCGACTAGTACCGATTTTACTAAGGGAATGTCTTGGCAATTAGCTTCTGGAGACGCTTTTAAAGAAAAGGGACGATTGCACGACTCTGAGCAATTAACTTTAATTAAGATGATTCAAAATTTAACACCAGATAAAACAAAAGTTGCGCAAGCGATGGTGTTTTGTATTGATAATATACATGGGGCTCGAGATATTGTAAACATAATAACTGAGTCGATTGAAATCAATTCAAAGAATGACATGTCTAGCAAGAAACAAATTGCCCGGTTGTATCTAATTTCAGACATTTTATACAATGCTAAGCATAAAAAGTATGCACAGTTTATAAATAATTTTACTAACAAAATATCGGGAATATTCGATGTACTAAAATTAACTTTGCAGCAGTATAATCAAAAAAAAGATCAGCGTTTGAAGAACATTGTTAAATTGAAAATTATGAACGTTTTGAAAGCTTGGGAAATGTGGAGAATATTCCCGAAAGCCTTGTTGGAGCAGCTTGAAAGTGAACTCAAAGATCCTCCTGAAATTGTCACAATAGAAGAGAAGAGAACAAAAACGGAGAACATATTAAAAAGTAAAGAAAAACAAAGCAATATGTTGTCTACAAGCAATGAAATGCAAGAATTAGAATTGCATGAAACTTTTAGTAAATCTAGATGGGAAACACAAACCCCAGACGTTTTACAAGCTCAAGCTATGTCCACCGCACGTCTACATGAAATTGAAGTGCAGAGAAAATATGAAGAAGAACTCCACAAACAAACAAAAATATCTAAAACCCTGCATTATCAAGATCTGCGTAAAGTTGAAATGAAGGTCATTCGTTATCAGGACAGTCTAGAGGGCGGTAAACGGAAGTTAAAGTATGCGCAAACTATCGAAGGTGATGTTAATGAATACCGTAAGAGGTGTATCAATAAATTTAAATCTAGGCAACAAGAAAAAGACAACGATATTTTTATATCGCATAAGAAAAAGCGAAGATAGTGTCAATTAAATTTAATTACTCACCTAGCAATTAGCGACATGGAAATAGGAAAGATTCCCATGGTTTTGCTTCCCATAAGATATTCAGAAGTGGTGTTTTGTTTCACTCTTGCAAAAAAGGCAAAGTACACACCAATCCAAGCGGATATCAATAACATAGCAGCAAAAACGATATAATCGAAGATATCAAAATACTTTTCGTCTTGTTCGTGCATTTTGCTTGAAAGTTGAAATTTTTATTTAATATGTATGCTTTGATTGATATTGATTTGATTTAATATGTTTAGTTTAAATACACATTTCTTAACAGTTTCCAATTGTTTTTATTTGGTAATTGTGATTATAAAATTAGTTTTGCGAGCAAGCACGAACAAGATGCGAGTACAAATCTAACAAAACTGGTCCAACTCTATGGAATAGACCTAAAAGAGTTGCGCGTGTAAAAATTCTAATATGATTATTAATTCACGTACTCGGAGTGTTTTCGAACTGCATACAAGAATGGCAACACCATCACTTATTTTGGCTAACTAATTTTACGAAGAATGGCATATATTATTAAATACCAGTTAATTAATTGTGCCTCTACTGAGCACTACCAGCTGAGTTTTTGCAGGCATGTAACAATTTTGTTCACTTGGTATAGTAAGCAATTGCTACCTTTATCTTGAAAATTACTCGGCCAATTGAAAAATTGGATGCTCGTGTAACTACGGCTCGTGTAAGTAGACCTGAATCAAACAAATGGAGGGCCCCAACGCCGGAATTCGTTCCATAGATAGCCATCCTACTTCTGGTTTCCTCAATTTCCTCAAATTTTTATCAATGGCAATGACATGTCATTTTTTGTTATTTGTTGTTATTATTGGATAAAATGTGTAATATTAAATGTGTTTTTTATTAAAATTCTCTAACTTGAAGCATGTTAAGTATATAATGAGTATTGTTTGAGCTCCCAGTGTGCAATGTCAGTCGTGAAAACATGATACGTATCGAGCCGTAAAACTTAATTTGTGTAGAACTGCTAGAAGCTTGAATTTGCATAGAGGTTTTGTAAATTAGATGAAATTACATGTTACATATGACACCATTTTATTTGTTTTTCTACGTCCATCTATAAAGCGCTAGTTTTTCCACGGTTTTTAGACGAAAAAAATAGCACTTTAAAGACGGACGGTCAAAGTTGTGAGTAAAGTACTTCACGCACGACATTTATAACCTTACGCTTTCCAGTCGTGTGCAAGCAAATTTCTGTCTTTCTCTCGTTTTGTTAGGACTGGGCCGTGTTTCTACACTCCTATGCATTTTTCTTGTGACACTGATGTCCAAGAGTCCCTCCATTTTTTCGGTCGTCTTACAGGCGGCCAGGTATTGTTGGGAGGTGATTTTTGGTCCAGTACGTTATTCTGTCTGGGGCCATACGGTCTATATGTTTCATTCGCGCTTTCGTTCTCTTACTCATTGGAACACATCCTGCACCTCCAGTTCTTCTCTTATGTTCTTGCTCCTCACTCGATCTCTTAGCGCAAAGCCTTTTATTGCTCTTAGCGTGCGCATTTCTGTGGTTTGGTTGCATTGGTTTCAGCTCTCGTTTCTGCTGCGTAGGTAAGTATTACAGCCGTATTACAGTCTTATAGGTGCAAACTTTTTCCTCTTCAAATAGATGTTTTCCATATTGTGTTGTATAAAGCTCCTGATACTTTCGTCGCTTTCTTACTCGTTGCTCGCATTTCTTCGAGCGATTTTCGAAGATTTAAAATACAAAAGTTCTATTACAAAAACCTAAACGTGGAGATAGATTGAAAGTACAAAAAATAGTTTCAACATCACGTCGTTAAACGTTGTTAAACACTCGATCGATTAAACGCTCGCTACGCCCGCATTAATCAAGTTACAGTGGTTACAGTGCCGTTTAACGTACTTCCTAGTCGACGCGAGCCGCAAAAATTATCCAAGTTGTAAGATTTGAAAAAAGACTTTTACGTCTTCGGCTGCCAAACATACACCACGTGTCTTTCACCTTAACTTTCCTATACAGTATATTTCATCTGCAACAGGTATTTACAGGGTGGTGAAATTAGAAATCATCTTATAGTGCTCAACAAAAGTCTCTATTATTATTACGTATTACGTATTATTGCTCACAAGATATCGTTGTTAAACTATTACAAATAAAACCATTGCAAGTCAATGCAAATAATTCGCCAAGGACGGTCCCAAGCCCGGTTGAAAAAGAAAAAGGGTTCCGGTGCCGGGGTTGCAACCTATTAAACACATTTTATAAGCACTTTTCTTTAATACCATACTAAACACCTCAAAAATCCCAGCAGAATGGCATAAGAGCATAACAGTTCCAATCTTTAAAAAAGCAGAATTGTCTTGACAATAGTTGACAACTACAGAGAAATTATGCAATTGTGAAGCGCTCTAAAAATTTTCACGGCGATACCACATAAGAAACTAGCGATATCATCAGCAGAAGAACAGCAAGAGTTTCGAAGGTTTTGCTCTGTCACGGATGCCATTTTTATGCTCTGTCAAACTAAAGAAAAAACTTTCGAATACAATCACGTAGCATACATACGTTTTATTGATCACAAGAGAGCGTTCAACAAAATACAAATAAAAGATGTCATATCCACTCTTAACTAAAAAAAAGCACCATTTAAACTCTTTCGTACGATTTCTAAAACCAACACTACTAGCACTAGCCAACACTACCGCACTACGAGAGAACGAAAAGCTGACCATAGACATACCAATTGAAGTAGGAATACCCCAGGGCAACAAAATAATATGAACAACATAATAAAGGACGTGAGAAACCTACACATCGGTTATCGGTTTGGTGACTATCGATTCAGCATTATTCGCTATGCGGGCGACACAGGAATCATAGCCGAAATGGTGGATAATTTACTAAGACAGTTGTACCAATTCCATCTATCAGCGAGAAAATATGGTATAAAAATTTCAATATCCAAAACAAAGAGCTTGATATCACCTGTAAAATGCAAACTAGCGATCCATGGCCAACCAATAGATTAAGTAATGTGCTTCCAGTATCTAGGCACTCAAATCCGCCACAATGACACAACATGAGACTATACCACATCCAGAAAAGCACTGCAGTCACAGGCAGTCTTTGAGATATAATATAGAACAATAAACATATGAAAAGACAGAGCAAAGTGAAAATCAATACTTAACCCATAATTACACATAACCCTTGAGTCTATATAGCAAGGCTGGCCAATGGATTTTCCTGGAGGGCAAAATCTTTTAGATTGCGGCGGCACCGGGCCACAGACTATGGCCATTCATACATAAAATATTATACACATACAAAAGTTCCAACTTTGGTTTTTGCGGCGGGCAAATTCAAATGTCCTGGCGGGCCACTTCGTGGCCCGCGGGCCTGGGATTGGCCAGCCATGCTATATAGTAATACATATATGTTGGTCATTTTTGAAAATCTTCAGAGATTAAATGTGTTAGCGGCACAAAATTGCAATATCGTGTATTTATATTCAAGATATATTTAGGTTCATACCTCGGAACCTAGCTATAATCAATGGATTTGGAAGATCTACGTACCAAGACTTTTATTTTGCCAATAAATTTAGTGCAAATAGGATAATTTGTTAAAACAAAACACCATGAAATTGTGGCAAATGCAGGATAAAATTTAAAAAATTAAACAGATAAGCCGTTGCCTATTAGTATAGTATTAATATAGAAATTTAATAACAAATTAGTCCTTGAAATCTTTCAGAAAATTGCAGTTTTACTTCGCCTATTCATTTGTACTTAAAATATAAACTAGCAATGTGTACATAACTAAAGGAGGCATCCTATCCTTACCACTGCCACAAACTGTCAATAATTATTGTTATAAATAAAAAGGCAACTGCACGCGAGTTCCCATGCGGTCTCCCATCCAAGTACTACCCGCGCCCGACGTTGCTTGACTTCGGCGATCGGATTTTTTTTGACATTTAAAAACTCTTTATTTACAAAAATATAATTTGTACATATGTAGATAAACGAATACATAAAATATAATCTGGCACATACAATTATCTAAAAATAACTATACATGCAGCTTCTTTGTTTGTTCCCTTATACTAATTTATACATACTTTTGTCGGTAATTGCGCTTATACATATTGCGGTAACATTTGGTTTTCTAGTCTGGTCACTTTTATTTGTTTGTTTTATTTTAGGAAAAAATGAGCATTTAAAACCAAATTGTTTGCAGTTTTACCAGGTTCATAGAGCGTTTCTGTACACTGGTTGGTATTCGTATGGGTATTTGTGTTTATTTATTGGTTTCGTGATATCGTGCCGGTGACGCGTGATTTTCTTTATTAATGGGTTGCAGTGTTGAGTCGTTTTTATGTAAAATTTGTTTGCGTTCTCTGAGATAAATTCCGAGACGTTTTGTATCATTGTTTGTTGCTGGATTTCTATGTTTGTCGTGTATCGGTCTGCGTTTGTTGCTAGACGCATGCACTTGTTCTGGAATTGTTGTATCTTTTTTGTGTATGTTTTTGCAATGTTGGCCCACGATGGAGCTGCATAAGTGATTATTGGCCTTAGCACGGTTTTGTAAAGTAGGATTTTATTTTTGGTATTAAGTTTGCTAGTTCTTACCATTAGTGAGTATAATTGAATAAGTGCTGCGTTAGCCTTTCTAATTGATGTTTCGCAATGTTTTTTAAATGTAAGTTTCTTGTCTAAGATTACTCCTAGGTATTTTACGTCATCTTTTTGAGGAATTTTCACCCCTTTGATTGTGACGTCTTGGTTGTTTGCTTATTTTGGTCTTTTTTGTAAACATGATTGTTTCTGATTTTTGTGCGTTTATTTTAATCTTCCATTTGTCATAGAACTTGTCGAGTGCGTTTAAATGATTTTGTAATTTTAATTTACCAATGTTAGCATTGTCTGTTGCAGTGTAGATAACAGTGTCATCAGCAAACAAGCCAATGCTCGTATTGGGTGTTTTTGGTAAGTCGTTTATATAGATTAGAAATAATTTTGGTCCAAGTATTGAGCTTTGTGGCACACCTGCTTGTTTTGTTCGTTCTGTCGTCTGGACTTCGTTAATTTTAACATACAGTTTTCTATTCTTAAGGTATGTATTGATCAGTAGAATTAGCCTGCCGCTTTTGGTTTGGTTTACTTTAACGACCGCCAAAAGCGAATTGCTGGCTGTTTCTAGGGGAGCCTAAAAAATCTGACCAATGTGAAAGTTTGCATCTGTGTGATTGCATCTTTAATTTCGTATTTAGTTGTTCCAATAACGG